CTGAATCTCTACTGTCTTATGGCTTTTGTGTCAACCTCCATTTAGGGAAAGACCCTTTCTTCCCTCTTTCCTTGGACCTCTGACTTCCCCTCAGCTATGCCTTGTTGCTTATGCCTCATGGTTACTTCAGGTTGCATGTGGTGAAATTGTTAGACAGACTAATGGATTTGGTTTTCTCTCTCTAAATATTGGTTTTTTATTGCTCCAAAACTCTTCTCTTCCAGAACAATTTTATAGAACTATATATAAGGGCACATAGTGGCATTCTCATGCCCCTGGTTCCTCTATCTGTACTTTCTGTAGTACAGAGGAGTGTTTGGCACATGACAAGTGTTAGCTACCGTCACTTCTATCCACCAACAACTCTGTGCATATAGTACCACTTCTTTACTTGTTTACATTCAGAGATGTGTATAGACATTATCATAGTGCATAATTTCCATGCATGCATATTGGATTTTGACTGTACTATAAAACTATACCTAGAGTTAAAAATTTCATTGGTTTTGGTCAGAAACCAATGTAAAAAAATTCAGAGCAAAGAATATGTATAGTATACTATTTGGAATAAGCTACAGGATCAAAATGAGACAAAGTTAAAGGGAACGTGAAATTCTTCAGTGTGAATTACATATAAGGGACTTTCAAACACAGACATCACCAAAACATTTTAACTGAACTGTCTGAATTACCTTTAACTCTGATTTTTGAAGTAGCTAATATGAAAAGACACTCTCTTTTTATATAGGCAACTTAAATTTAAATTTAATTAAAATTAAATAAAATTAAACATTCAGTTCCTCAGTCACACCAGTCACATTTCAAGTGCTCGCTAACCATATGTGGCTAGTGGCCACTGTACTGGACAGTGTACATGGAGTACATTTCCATCATCACAGAAAGTTCTATGGGCATCTGTGCTCTGAAAAAATACATAAATGCTTGAGTCAGATAATGAATATTGTTCTTTAGTGAATAACACTGACAGTTGCTTCCAAGGCATTTTGATATCATTCTAGATGTGTTTACAACTTTAAATAGCATGATTATATCTTGGTGTTAAGATAAAAGTATAAAATGTTATTTCTGAAAAGTCAGTATAACACAGGAGTTCATTTTCTGTTTTCGAGGTATAAAGCTTTGTTTAAATATATTTATTCACAGTGATAGTTCCTTTTTAAATTTTTTTCTCTTGATAGGAGTCTTTCACAGATTTTTTTATTATTGTTAATACTACACAGCTTTGAACAAGCATATATTTTCTTTTATGGTACATATTGCTTTAGCAACCCAGTTTAGTTTGAGCATATAGATGCATTCCAACATACATGAACTTGTTTGGTGATTATGATGCGTTTGCTGAACATAAAAACAGCAGCTGTAGTAACAACAGCAAGTAGCCCCCGCCTCATGACAATGACGACCCCATGCACAAAGAGTTACTCTGTGTTGTGTCTATTCTACTCAACTAAGCACAAGCCTGGAATTAAGACACAGGACATATCATTGTTTGCTTCCTGGAGGCAGGAGGCCATGTTTCTATCAAGTGTTTTCCAGTATTATTAGTCTGTCCTTGAAGGTAAAACAGCCTATAAACCATGCTTTAGATCCTTGTTCTTCAAAGTGTGGCCCACGTACCAGCAGCATTGGCATCAGCTGGGAGTTTATTAGGGCTATGGAGTCTGAGCCCCACCCCAGACCTACTGAATCAGAATCTGTATTTAGCAAAGTCCCCAGGTGACTTGGAGTTTGCACACTGAAGTTTGAGAAGCACTGCTTTAGACAATAAAAATGAGACCTTAGTAAGTCTGATGCCATTTCTGGGGCATGGTGTTATGGGTTGAATTGTGTCTCCCCTTAAATTCCTGTTCGAATCCTAACCCCCAGCACCTCAGAGTGTGTCCTTATTTGGAGATAAAGCCCTTACAGGGGTAATCAAGTTAACATGAGGTCATTAGGGTGGGCTCAAATCCAGTATGACCAGTGTCCATATGAAAAGGGGAAATTTGGACTCAGACATGTATGGCAGGGAGGCTATGTGAAGACATCAGATGAAGACAGCCATTTCCAAACCAAGGAGAGAAGCCTGGAACAGACGCTCCCTCCCAGCCCTCAGAAGGAAGCAAGTGTGCTGACACCTTGATTTCAGACTTGTAGCCTCTAGAGCTGGGAGACAACAAATTTCTGTTATTTAAGCCACTCAGTCGATGGTACTGTGAGAGCAGCCCTGGCAGACATGTGCTTACACTTTCTTCTGTATCACGAATTACCTACCTTTTAGATGATGTCTTCCAAGCATTTATGCCCTATATCTGCCTTGAATATGGAATCTATCTGTCAGTAAGACTGTTCTGTCTAATTATTTAGCCACCACAAATTAATGAAAAGGAATAGTTGATGGACTCCTATCTGAGACTTGCAATTTCAAATCTGCACCCACATGGATCCTGGGATTAGCAATATCTAATAACAATACCTGTTAATGCTGGAAGGAGCCTAAGTCTCATTTAATACACAAGGAAACTGAGTCCTCGTGCAGGGAAGGAGTTACCCAATACCACCTGGTTAATCATGAGGAGACACAAATCCAGGATTTGCATCTCACAGCCCTGGCTTAAAGCTCCTGAGCACACCTGGCATGCATGGCTTTGGTAGCTGGAGATCACAGAACAGTGTCTATGATAATCTAAATTGCTCTACATGAAACACATGGATTTTGCATCAAGTCGGTTTAATTATAAAGTTATAAATATGTCAGAGGGATCTGATGACATCTTATTAAATTGCAGGAGTGAGCTCAAGTAGTTTCTGATGTGGGCTTAGTCCCAAGAAGAGTGAGTTTTATAGTCAGGACCTACCCAAGTTTCTCCCTCCCACTCCCTACCCCATCCTTTCCCCTCTTGACTTTCTATTTGTTTGAATCATAGAAAATATTGTATAGAAATCAAACAAATCAAGTTATGAAAATGCAGAAGAAATATTTCATCCAAGTTGGGTTTTTTACTTTTATCTTTTCATTCCTTTGAATGATAGTAGGATTTAATCTCCAGAGAGATCTTTTTGGAATTTCAAATTAAAACAACAACAACTATATGTATTTTTTTTCTGATCAGATACTAAGTGTGGCTGCTATTTTACATTGTACTTCCATTGGAAATAATACACTAGTCTAAAAAATTCTTTTAAAAAAAGTGAGTGTAAAGAACAAGTTCATAGAATTATCTCTCACATTAGCTTCTCAGGCTCCTAGGCAAACTGGAAGCTGATAGTTTTAATAGTACAAATGTGAGTTATGAAAATTCTTAGTGACGACTGTGGGAATAATGGCGTTTTCCCCTGGTAGCTGCCTAAATAATTTAAGGGTTAAGTATCAGGTTTGGAGATAGGATCCCTCTGACTACATCTTGCTGTGATCACATTGGGATTAAGGCAATGGTTTCTTAATGTGTTCTCCTAAAGACAATCTCATCATGTCCTTTTGTAATTCTACCATGTTATCTCTTTTATCATCTGTGTCATATATATATATATATATATATATATATATATATATATATATTTTTTTTTAATGGAGGGAACCAATTATACTGGTGATAGAGCTGAGAAGCCAATCAAGGGACAGTGAGGGAACCCAGTTTAGCAACAGCAAGAACCCACTTCCATCTCTAGGCTATTATGTACATATTATTATTATTATTTTCTTTATGGCTGCTCTAGATCTGTCAGGGATTTTTTCCCCTCTTTTTTTTTCTTCATCTTTTTTTGTTCTTATCTGGTTTTTTGTTTGTTTGTTTGTTTTTGTCTGTCAGGGATTTTAAAAGTAGGAAATACGCCCTTGGAAGATTTGTAATCTGGTTGGAGAGACTAGACATGCGCAGGAAACCAAGAGCATGATTAAGGACTAAACCACTGGGAGGGCAGTGCCTAAGGGAGAGACAACCCTGCTGCTTCCTGGGCCACTGTGGAATTAGTTAAAGGACACTTGTCATGGTGTCACTTTGCCTAACAAGGCTTCTAGAGAGTAACCTGAATGAGGAACTCTGTCTGTAACACATTTATTTTCTTAGAAATAAACATCTCTTATAGAAAAACAGCTTTTCCTCTCAATGAGTCAAAGAGATGTATTTATTCAGAAAGAAATGAGACCTAGATGAAAGCGTTTGTTCTTCTAAATATTGGCAGATTTAATATTCATGTTCAAATAGTGTATCTCACCTTATGTAAATACTCTTGATAGGGTTAACTGCAAACAAAATGGCGAGGTCAACAAAGTTTGTGGGTATCTGCAATCCCCTTTTTTCATGCCCTTCCCCTCCTAGATTCTTCTGCCCTTCAGTTTGGGCACTCAGTACTCTCACTTGCTGTTTTATATTCTTCACTTATAATTCTTACTTACTTGAAAGAATCAGAAATAGGTCATTTACAATTTAGAATAACTTGAAATCAATATAACCTGCTATAGCTGTCTAATATATCTAAACAATTGAAACTGACCCTTAACATTGGCATATATTTTGGGGAGTAAAATTTTAAAATTAGAACATGAAAAATGACAAAAGGCAAGAACATTTTGAAGAAGTAGTTTGGGTAAGAATATCTAAAAATTAGTGTTCATATAATCAGTATGAATATTTAGGAAAAACTTTAAAATACTAAAATATGAAAGAATTTTAAAATAGCACATGTATATCAGGTCATAAGATAAAGTTTAATACATTTGCTCATGTTAAAGGACACAAAACACAGTCAATCTAACCAAATTTCAGGCATGCATTTACATAAATATATTAAATTAAGAAAAGAAATTGTACACTTAAACATCCTTTTCACCTAAAAAAATCATTAAATCCACAGATCAACAATAAAAACCAATTCTCTGCATTTACCACTTTAAGATACAATTGTTCTATTTTAAAGATAACACAAATACACTTGTTAGAATTTATATGCATTATACATATATTATATATTACATAGATAGTGTGTATACATATGTAGTGTTTGTACAGATAGATAAATATATATATACACATGGGTGTGTGCACACGTACAGATACACACAGATGTACTTTAGGCCATCTGTACTGGTATTGCTGGATTCTGATGTTGAGCTGAATTGGAGCTGGTTGGGTGTGATTAGTGTCTTTTGCTTCAAATGTGTTCATCATACCCATTGGGCTCACAACCCCCCACTGCAAATGTAAGGACGTTTACTGTGACCTTTTAAGGACCTTATAATGACTTTCTCACATAATCACACTAGGCACTTCAATAAATATTTGTTGAATTAATGAATGGATTGATGGCTGAATAATAGAAGATAGATCAAAGAGAAATGCGTATTATAATAACTTGGTTAAATAAGTCAGATTAATTCAAACTTGGATTCTCTGAGCCAATGACTTTGCATGTTACTTTTCATCTGAACATTTAGAGAAATCCCAACTAGTACATATATTAACTCTGCTCCCTTAAACGCGTTCCTGTTTTTATACTTGTTCACACAGCCTTCTGCCTCTTATGAACAGAAATTCAAGCAAGGATTGGTTCTGGTATCTTCTGTGAGTGAGGTTATGGGTAAATTGCCCTAATTGTCAACAACCTAAAGGAAAATCAACACTTAGGAAAACCAAAATGTGTTAGAAGAATGATAAAATTAACTATTCTTTAAAACTGGACAAAATTAATCATAGATAAAGCAAACAAAATAAGCATATTTCTCTTATGCTTATTATGATAATAATTCGATATTTTTTTCATTTTAATTAGATGGGTTTCTTTTAAATAATAGTCTTCTTTCACATATCCTAGGGACTCAAGCTCCAAAAATTCCATAGTACCTCAGTATCATTTATCTTGTTACTACATGGCTCTTGGTGAAATGCATGTCTAAAAATGTCCTATAAATATAATGAGATATGGGAAATATCTGACATCTGATAAGGTTGTCAATTAGATTTCTCAACAATAGTATTATGAATAAAATGTATTAATATATTAATAGTATTAAGCTCCACTATACATGAAATCTTACTTTATTTCGGGAAAGTCATGTCTCAGATTTTAAGGATATGAGATAAAGAAATATCCACATATATTTTGGATATAGACTATACCAAACCTGATCACTTGTTGTTCTTGTGAATGGAAGCTATTGGTTAGTTATTTTTTAGTTCAAAAGAAATGTATAAGAATTAGTTTCTAACTCTGAAGACAAAGCTTATATTTAGCCACTATGAATTTCCCATCACTGTTAATGTTCTGTTCTTTCTAAAAGTATTTTTAACTTAAAAATTATAATCGAGATAACTCATCACATATTTATGTTAATTTGCTTGTATATGTGTACATGTATTTTGACTGTAAGTAATACATCATCCACATATGCGAAAAAAATCCCGACTGAAACATGATGTCTAACTTTGTGATGTGTATGAGATGTAATCTTAAAATTCATGCTGATACTTTATTTATTTATTTATTTATTTATTTATTTGTTTGTTTATTTATTTGGTAAGCCATTGTATAATCTGGCTTTAAAAAAGCAATAATAGGTTAATAGGTTTTAGGCCTAGTTTTATGTTGATACAAGGGTCCCATATTTATTTTTTATTCTTTTAACCAATTTATATATGACCTATATAAAAGAAAGCAAGGTAAATGATGGATGTATCTTGGGTTCAGATTTACTGAAGAATTTAAGAAAAGTGCTAATCTGATAAATGAATAAATCTCTTTATAGCAGCTAGGGAAACTACAATTATGATTGAAAAGAAAACAGTACTACAATGCTCCATTTTGTTATCATGAATACCTTACTCTCCTAAACATTGATTTTAAGACAGTCTCCCAAACTTAAGAGATATATAAGAGAAAGAAGTTTGAAGTTTGCAAAGATTAGTGTTTGACAGGTTCTGTGGTCATGTTCTTAATATTTTTAATATCAAAATGCTTCTATTCTTAGGTTTCCCACCTCCTTTGACATCACATGAAGTATTGGAGATATGACTAATTCATGTTGGTGTGATGAAGACAAAGAAGGTAAGACAGCAAACATGTATTTCGTTTGGATAGTCTAAAGAGGAACGCTCTGAAAGTATTGCCTATTGCCAACATCCACAGTAGTAGGCCCACTACCTTCCTCGGGCAGTATAGAAATATGTACATTTTTTGGGCATGGCACTTTGGTCTGAGTTCTCTGCAAGTTCAAGTCTTATCTGAGATAGGGAAAGAAGACTCTAAAGCCTCCACTGAGGAACTACTTCTTATTTTTTTCTCATAGATATCGAATAACCTGTTTCAAAAAAGACTCCATAGAGATGGTTGTTGCTTGAATAGGAAATAGCTACTGACCTTCCCTGCTGTTAGCTTGCTCTCTCCTGGCGATATTTTCATGTCTTTCCTGTATCTATGCTGGAACACTAGCTGAAGAGGAGCATTTGGGCTGTTGGTCATTTATGGTTTTCGTTACTTCTTTCAATGATTCTAATAGATTGGACTGGTATGTTTGTATTTGTCTATCATTCTCCATGATATAGAGTCTGAGCAAATGTGACACCAAGAAAGGGTATTTTTCAGGAAAACAAAGAAAAGATAACCCTCAAAATCAATAGTAACCTACCCCAGGACATCTTCATCATGTATGTACTGAGGACATACATGTCTGTTTCGTTAAAAAAACAGTAGAAATACAGGCAAAGGGAGAGGTTAAAAGGTAGAAGGATATATGGGGTAGGGGGTAGGAGAGAGAGAGAGAGAGAGAGAGAGAGAGAGAGAGAGAGAGAGAGAGAGATCATAGGTAACATTATATAGAGATGCTGCGAAACTTGATTGAATATACAACTACAACTGTCTATTATATACCTTATCTTTCCTCTTAAGAATTTGAACTTGGTTCCTCTTTTATGTTTCAAAGCTGAGAAAGTTAGACTAATAGAAATTTAATTAATGTGTCCTTTAATAGACATTAGGTGTAGCATCTCACCTCATGTCTAACACCTAGTAGCCTTTGTTGTATAGTTTATGATTCAGAGATAAAAACAATATTAAAAAGAAATATATTAAAACTTGTTAGTACATTATTATGTAGTTGTTTCCAAAGAAATAAATATAGAAGTGCCTGCTCTGAAGTATGTAAATGACAAAGATAATGGTTTTCTATTTAGGTTGTGTGTATATGTTATATGTGTAGGTGTCTTTGCTGTTTCTTGATGGGACAGTCCATTAATCTGAGAAAACGTCTGAGTATTCTCTGTGATAAATAAAATATATATTTTACAGTAGCCACACTGAAACAAAATTCCAAGAAGAAAAGGTACAGATGAAAGCACTTTTTATCGCCACTCAAGTTTCTTAAATCTTCCCTTCTTTTCACTTTAATGATGTGCCAATTCAGTTTTCTTCTCATTACCCTATATAACTGGCAAGAAAACAAGGTTCTATTAACTAGGACAAGAGTTTGGCAGAAGCAGTGGTAGAAAGTTTTTTTTCCATCTCCTTACAACTACCATAACAGCATTTCACATTAAACTGACACCCAAATATTAAGCTCTAGAATGGACAAAGGTATTGCAATACACATTTTTCTAGTTCATGATTTTACCTTTATCTCACAGATCTGCATTCATATCAAGGACATTTTTCTTCCATTTTTACTCTGTGCTTTATGAACTGAGTAGATGTAGGTATTGCCATTCATGTGATGAGACATAACTTTTCCCTAGCTCATACTTTTTAACCAGTTCCTACCTGCCTCTCATCATGAATCATTTAAGACAATTCTCTAGCCACATATTTTAAAAATCCACTTGAGAGAGAAGTTCAAAAGATCTTTTGAAATGACCACTGAGTTTAAAATATGTAGCCATCAATTGGCCATTGCTATTTACGTCTCTCTTAAAAACAGAAATGACTCCAATGACTCTCCTTTCTTTGCTTGGGTATAATATCCATGGATCTTGCTATCTTCTTTATACAAGATTTTGGTCTTTTATTCTAATGACTCACAATAGAAAAGGCAGTGACACCTGGGATACATATGTTTTTCTAAGTCATTTGAAACTTTCACTTGGGAAAGGGACTGTATAAAAATCTGGGTCTCGTCAATTGAATATAGATAGTTTTAAATAGGAGAACTAATGGCAAGCTAACACCTTTTATTTTGGAAGAGATTAAGGCTGTAAGAAGAAACGCTGGATTTTTTAGATTTTGCCGTATATAGCAGTATCCTTGTTCTCAGTGAAACTATGAACTGGAGAATGTGTAATAAAACTGCACAATTTGACAGATTTAGACAGCTGGCTCCCTCACAAGAGGTTCACATTCTGTTAATGTCACCCACGCTGAATAAGGGACGATTAGATGGTAAGGTCCATTTACAAAAATGGTTGTCAAGACATTTTTTTTTTTAATTGTAAAACTTTCTGTGATGGAATTCAGTAAAAGGGCTATGAAGAGAAAGCAATGGAGACAAAAGACTGCTATTAACCTACAGATGCAGGCTACTGCAGGGTTCATTGCAAGATTTGTCACACTGTTGGGCCAATGAAGTGTTAGTGTGACTAGAAGGGACCACCCCTTTTCTGGGGTAAGAGGGCAATTTGGTCTCCATGCTCATTTAATCCTGAGACTTCTTTGAATGGACTGTCAATTGAATCTAAATTGTGCAAAATTATGCATGCACTTTTTAATGCAGGCTATTGTTCACTAAGCACTGAACCAAGATTTCTCAACCCATTTCCATTTGGCATGAGGTCACTTGAAACTTAAGTAATCATATATGGAAGACAAGAGCAGTGTACTTAACCAATCTTTCTACATTGTGGCTTCTATATAAATGCTCGCTGTGCTTTAATTGCAAATCCCCTGCTTTAAAACAATAGAGAAATACTAGTTACAAGATTTTATTCTTTTTAATTGAGGCTCGTATTCCTAAAAGTAAGGAGCAGGTTTGAAAAGTCAGCCTGTGCTGCATAATCTATACTACTCTCCACTTTAGATTCTGGGGGGAACAGATGTTTACAGAAGGACCACCTATAGTGGGTGTGCGTGTGTCATGGGTAGATGTTTTTTCAGTAGTGCAAGGAGGCCGTCTAATTTTGTTATAATCCAAATGTGGAGAGCTGGCCTTGAAAACCATTAAGAAAAATGTTTATCAGACTTTTTGCAGTTTTAAGTTAGAACATAGCATTTCTTTCAAAACCTGAACAGAACATTTACAGAAATTTATTCATACATTCACCAAAGAAAATTTTCATTGAGTCCTGAAGGAACATATACACGGAAAGTCATATTTGGCAAGAATTATTATATTAAAAATTTGTACAAGTGACAGCTTACATAGCCAAGATTTGTTAAAAAACGAGTGAGTTCTTCTCCAGTGAGGTTCGATTGAGTGTGCAATCTGCAACATTCTAATCACATATACTCTGACAGTCTTGCTATCATGAAAAGCACTTTACAAATGTTTAATGCTGGAATTTTATAAGGATTGGCTGTTTTCTTGCTTTTTCATCCGTCGTTAATGATTACATGTTGGCACAAGGATACATTGCTAGATTAGATCCACAGCACATTAAAGACTGTTTGCTTTCTCACTCCCCTTCTTTCCAATTAAGTTGGTGAAAAATGTAACTTTAGTATTTTACAGGACAGGGTAAAGGTGTTTCATCTAGGTGATGTCTATATTATAAAAATAAAATAAAAAATATAAATATGTAACACAAACCCAGTGCCTATTGTTAAATAAAATATACAATAAAAGCAGACCTTTTAGGAAGATTGGTTTTAGAAATATGCTGTTATGATTTAATTATAAAACACTTGAAAACAATCTTGATATTAAGCTAGGGTAACCAGATTTCTCTGTCAATAAAAAAGTAAGTGCATAACATTCTGTAATTGGATACATTGGTAAAAATGAAGATTACAATTTTGTATCAAGTTGCCCATTTAGAAATTCATCAGGGAGTTCTGAAACATTCTCACATTATAGTCCTTTAATATAAAAATATTGCCTTTTTTATTAGATCCATCAGATTGCACAGTAATGTTTCAAAACTCCATTAAAGTTGACTTTAGTTATTATAGACAGAAAATTCCTAGGAAGTCAAATAATCTCTTCTGGTGATATAAAAATTCCGTTATCAATTTACAATGGAATTTCTGTGTAAATTACTCCACACAAGGAAATATATATTTTTAAAACCCATCTGTTCCGTAACCATGCGTATAAGGGTTGTGAGTGTGTGTATGTGCGTATGTGAACAAACGTGCCAACATACACACACAGAATCTGCACATTTCTGGAAATTATTTTTAAATTAATAAAAGAAAATGAAATCACAGGAGTGTGTAGCAGGATAACAGTCTTTCTTTTTAATGACAGGATAAAAAATAAATGCCCATTGGAAAAGAATATTCAAACAGTCCCAGACACTATACAATGTAACTTGTTAGATCCAGCAAATAAGATGTCATGTCAATGATCTGATCAAGAATACCTGCCCTGGTCACTCTGCGGATGTTTCTGTCCACTTGTTCACATTGAGGACCAAGATATCCTTTTTTACAGAGGCATTTGTTTGGCCTAACACAGACACCTCCATGGCGACATGCTGGCTCACATTTTGCTGGGAGAAAAAAAAAAAAAGCAATAAAATCACACTCTCATTGTGTATGTCAGAAACAGCACAGAGTATGAGGCCAATAAATATTTGATGAGTAAGGGAAGGGAGGAAAAGGAGGAGGAACACAAAATGATCCAAAAAATAATAAAGATAAGAAGGGAAGAACACTTTCAGATCCACAGTAATTTGGGGGCCAGAACTCAGCAGCGCACGGGAGACATTTCCAGAGAAGCATAGATCATGGGAAACAATTTCAATCCCTTGCAGAACTGACTATTTCAAACGATTGTTTCAGTTCTTTCAAGTCTCGGCTCCACTAGGGCACTTCCAACAGAGGTCCTAGCAAGTAACGCTGTTCCCACTCCTCCAGGGTGGGACCTCAGCATGGAAAGGGCCTGGCCCATGAGAGAAGCCCAGTGGCTCGAGCATCTCCAATGCAACATAAAGGGATGGTCATTTTTTTATTTTGGTTAGATGGAGTATCTACCACTTAGACTCCCTAGTATTCCTCCTCACTGCTCCCGGGGTTGAGGGGCAGCCTATGCTTCATCTCTGTACACTTTGAAACCCCTTCTTAGGTCAATGCAGTCAGCCAACGAAGGATATTCTTAACAGTCCTTTTCAGGGTTACTCTACAGCACGGAACCGCTTCATAAAAGGATTTTTACCACTACAATATAGGTGGGAATGTAAAGATTCACTGCTAAAATGAGATGGAGAGAGAAAATTGGGTATATAACTTAATTATCTCTTACTGATAGGATAAATCTGGGGTGTGCAGCCCCCACGTACACAGAATCAAATTCGTTGAATACATTTCTTTATACTTTCAGGGGTCAGGGTCATTTTAACCTTTGCAAATGCCTTAATCAAAATCCAGGGGTCTGTGGCTGACACATGGAAAAGCAAGAACAAAATGCAAGTAGTTAGACACTTTTCTTTTAAATTTGTAGGAGATGAGTAAACTATGTGAGTATAGGAATAAAGTTCTTGCTTGGGTCAAAAATATCAGGAATGGATTACTTTTATAAAATGGTTGTGGTTTATCTTACATATTCAAATTATTTAAATCGATTTAGTGGAAAGATGACTTCATTGAAATAAAACTTCATGTTAACTCAAAGAATATCTATTGTCATTTATATCACATATTGTTATTAATATCCATTATGGTGTGTATATATAATGCCACCCATATTCAAAGTAACTTGTTTACCCTCAGTTTAGACATACTGTTACTAGAGGCATGCAATAAATTTTGTTATCTGGTAGTTTGAGAAGTTAGGCAAAATACAAGGTAAGGAATAAAACAGAATGGACACTATATAAAAGAAGCAGAGAGAAAACGTTGTTAGGCCTCAAAGGAAGCAGAGGGAAGATATTTTACCAAGAATTAGAATATTAGTGCATTTGAACACTCAGTCTCATTTTTCTGCCAATAAAGAAGGGAGGCAGACTGGGTCAATAAAATGTAAGCAGTCATTTAAAATAATGTAATTACTTCATTTCTGTTGTTTTAATTATGATAGCTCTTCCCTAGATATGTAACCATAGAATAAATCCATCCTGTAATGTTATTAGTGCTGAAGCAATTTAAGCTTAAAATGTATACTGCATATATGACTTTAAATGTTGGCTACTTTTTGTCATACAATATAGAAAGTAGACAAGTTATAGTTATAATGTTTTTGAAGCAAATACATGTTTAGGATAAAGAAAAACAATAAATTAAGAATAATATTAATATTAACTTGGGAATTTTAATTTGCATTGGCAGGAGATACTTTAATATTTGAAATAGCAGAGGTGAAAACTTTTTGTAAGTACTATGTATATGCTGGTTATTGAAAATGCATTTTTTATCCTTATGGCAGCCTCTTTTCCCCAGTTTTATGGAGAAATAATTTACATACATCACTGTATAAGTTTAAAGTGTACAGCATAATGCTTTGATTTACATAGATTGTGAGATGATTACTGCAGTAGGTTTAGTTTCCATCCATCATCTCATAGATACAATGAAAAGAAAGGAAAAATAATTTCTCCTGAAAATGCGTTTTCAACATATACATCTTAAACTTCCTATATCTAAATTTACCTAATTTTCTTACTTCATACCAAGTAGGATTTAAACATCATTGCATGTAATTGAGGCAATCTCCAGTTAAAGGATAGAGTAGCCCTGAAATAAATCTCCTTTGCTCTCTCTCTCAGCATCTGCACACCTGGTTGAGGGTTCACAAGGGAGTGGCAAAAAGGACTTAAAAATCTCATATAAGCCTCTAGATAATTGCATTTTCCCCTCTTGTTTAATAATACCCACTGAAGAACCATGTTTTTAATGCACTGCAGCCAGAAAAGCAGTAAAGTTAGGGAGGGCATTTATGGGGTGTCTGGAAAAGGTGGCACTTGGAGAGGGGCTTTGCAAACACGAAGTCACTGGCTGGCATGAAATCGCAAACCCAGGACCTGAGAGTCCATCGAGATGATCTAGTTGGTGCCATTTTCGTTTTTTTACTTTTTGAAAGAGACTCAGTTATTTAAAAGTCTTTTATGTGTATGATTAACTTGTATACTCGTATGTGCATTGTTTACATTAAGAAAACGGGAATGATTCCATTTACACGTTAAGTTCAGGAACAGACTGAGCACTAACGTATCGTAAATGGCTAAGTGTTGAACACTAGGCAATTCTAGAAGAAATAACTGGTGTGAAGTTCTTGAGTTTCTAAGGACGGCCCCATGCCCAGTCTTTCCCGGGGACAGCAGTACTAACCGATTCTGCAGAAGTCCCCTTCCCATCCGGGGCTGCAGCAGCACGTTCCCGTCGGGGTACAGTAGCCATTCCGACAGAGCCGGGAGCATTCTGACGTGAGCGTCTGGGCAGGTTGCACTGCCGCTCTGCACTCCTCAGGCACCAGAGGTCTGCAAGCAAAAGACAGCAGTTGAAAGCGTATTTTTGTTGACTATCAATACTGGAATGAAATCTGGTGATTTTGTGGCTTACAAAGCATGCCTCTTGCTTTCTAAGCAGAACTTTCTTTTAAGTGACTCACAGAGATTGTTGACAACTTTCTAAGAATAGAAAATAGACACTGGTAAAAACACGAACTAGCCAGTTTTGAACCAAAGAGAACATAGCAAACATTGAAAGAAACTGTATCATGGTCAAAATTCATTGATTAAAAATGTAATTATATTGATATTTTGCATTTGGTAGCTAAGAATTTCTAGCAATTACAGTTTTTAAAATAAAGATGACCCCGGTCGGGACCTCCTCTCGTTTTAAGAGCTGTAGCTTTCTTCTCTAATAAAACTATCCTCTGCAATAAACTTTAAAATAAAATAAAATAAAATAAAAAAGATGGATAGATATTTTAAAACCTTTTCCCCCCAGATGGACATTTTTGGCAATATCACAGGGCTGAAGACATGCATCAAAATGAGCACTTGTAGTCTAAAACCCTTGGGAATCCATTTGTTTTCAATTTTACATTTCTTTTGAGATACTGTTTTTAGACTGACCCTTCTTGAAAGGATATCACACTGTGTGTGTGTGTGTGTGTGTGTGTGTGTGTGTGTGTGTGTGTGTGTGTACTATGACTCAAAATTTCAACTCCTTGTGAAAGAATGATACATATATAGATGCATATGTGTGTGTGTGTGGATATATACTTAAATGTTTTTTATTTTTTCCTGCTCTGAAGAAAAAGAATTCTATTGATAGCAAACAGAAACAACTTATCTACCAGGTAAAAAGTCATAGACTTTCTTTCACTTGTTCTACAACTGCCATTATTTAGAGAGGGACCAAGATGCCTTCAGATTTTTCTGTTTCTTACTGTTTTTTATCTAAGAGGCTGTCTTTCAAGCTGGGTCAGGCTGGAATCATGGTCACGACCTACTCCTCACTACCTAATCTTTGGGGAGAAATGTGCAGTGGTCCTCTTCTTATCAGTCACGGTTACCTGTGCTCCAGTGTGGTGAGAAAGCTCTTTTTAGTTAAGGAATGTAAACAAACCTGTCATCACCAGTCCAATCACCATCTTTAGGTCACCAAAGCAGTTGGACTCCTTAAGTACCGTAACAAAGAAGGTGATAATTATAGGCCAAAACTACCACAAGAGGTAAATGATACAGCTTTCTGAGAGAAGCAAATAATTAGTCCCTTTAGACCCAATTTTCCTGAGACGGTCGTCCTGTTATTCCCCTGTGGCACTGTCAGCAGCGATAGTAATTTGGGGTCTGACCTCAGGCTGTTTCTACCATGACTCAAAACCATATTAAAAATATATAGTGACTTTTTTAACTCTTCCCTCCAATAAAAGTCCTACTCTAAGTTGAAAGTACTGTGTTTTACAGCTAAGCATGACAATTCATAAAACTCCCTTAACTCTAGTCAACCTCTTATTCAAGCCTAGAAATGGTCCATTTATGTGAAAGGTCCCTAAGGCATTCCATGAGCTGAGCATATTTTCACTCAGAAAACGTTAGTGAATATTTTCCATGTGTTAACCAAGGGAGTCTTTCTAGGAGTGAGGGCAGGGCAGGTTAAGTGGAGAAAAGGTTAATGCCAAGGAAAGTGAGGGCATTATTTTTGCCTTCTGCTTCTTCTTGTTGAATAGCCCAAGTCTGCTCTCTTTCTTCCTCGTACAAAAAAGTCTTTCTTTCTTTGTGAGACAATGGTGGCGTTTTTGACCCTCGGAAGAGCCATTTTTCAGTAGCCATGAAGTTCTGAGTCGAGACAGTGATCATTTACTAAGCGGCATTCAGTAAACAGGTGTTGTTCAAATTTTATTGGGAACTAAAGCTCTGTTTATCCAATTGTACTTGTTAGTCACTCATTTGCCTTCTTTGTGACTCACTCAAGAAAAGACACCCAGAAGTAGAGTGTGTCCAGAATATATTACGTGTTATACACGATGCAAAATAGGTAGTCGCATAGCTCATACACCACTTGACAGTGTGGTTTATGCCTCAGCAGATTAATCTGAAGAGGAGAAGACGCCATTTAGATCTAGAATGTAGATGGCTTGTGTCAAACAGCAACCACCAGAAGAGGTTGCCTGTCTGAGGCAACACATAGGGCTGTTCATCCCTGAGCTGTGGGGACGGGAATGAGGACATGATGTCAGGACCCAGTAGTGAAGTGCGGTTCTGCAGGTGGGGTCTGAGCCTTGCTTCTCTGCTGACCTGACAATTAGATGCTTTCACTATGTTTCACCAAACCTTCAAATGTCTGGAAACTCAGATTATAGAGGAATTCTAAGATTTGGGGTTTTGTTTTGATTTTTGTTTTTTTTTGGGTTTTTTTGCCTAAAATTTAGCAAATGTTTATCTATCACTGGATGGAGTCATTTCATATTTGGGCTTGTTTACCTTCGCTTATATAAGATTGTGTGGCTGTCATATATAAGCATGATGATTCCCTTAAGTTTTTATTTAAATACCTGGGAAATACTCTTTTTCTTCTTTCATGAAGTTGACAACTAACATTCTTCACTGAGCATGTCCAATAAATCCTCTCCCTCACTTTTAAACTGTTTTTCTATAGGCGATCCTTTAACATGGAAATTATGTGAAACGTGGCCCGTCTCTTACAGGACTTCACTTCTCTTAAGGAATAGGTTATCATATATCCTTTCCCTTCCTAATTGAAACGAAAGCTTTCTGAGGGCAAAAGCTGCCTATTCAAGCCTCTTCAGGCCCAGTCATTTACTCGGGCAACTACTGTGCTCCCCATAGGAATAAGACATAAACAAAACAGGGTCCTGAGCCACATGGGACACCATGGAGAAGACAGACATGCAAACACAAAAGAATCATTCTATGAAATAGGTGCAAATGAAGCAACACAGGAATACAGACAAGGGAGCACTTAGTTTAGGATTGAAGGGTGTTATAGAAAGATGACATTGAAGCCATCAATGTAGTTTATCTCCTTCAAATACTTATACTCATAGGAGCTAGGAAAATACTATACAGGCATTCAATAAGTGTTTGTTAAATTGAACTGAATGCATACAGTAGACCCTTTATCAACTACTTTCTCTGGAATATAAACTCCATGAAGACAACTATTTTGCTTTGTTCTCCCGTGTCTCTCCAGAACCTAGAAGAGTGAAATAGCCCATGGGAGAGGCTTATTAAAAACCTATTGAATAAATGAATGCACAAAATGAGTAAGAATATGGAATTTTAAAAGGATGTTTGTTTCTTTTTTATGCTATTGACTAAAGATATTAGGAATATGTGGACTATTTAGGGGAGGCATAGCATTAAGATTTAATTGCTGGGCTGGCCGAGTGGCTCGGTGGTTAAGAGATGGCTTGGGACACCAGAGGGCCCTGGTTCAGATCCCACATATGAGGGCCAGTGACACTGCCCTCTGCAGCTAAGATGCTGAACAACAGCTCAACCTGGAGCTGGGCTGCCATGAGTCACCAGTGACGGCGTAGGCTGCAGCCACTGCTGCAGTGGGTTATCATGGGCTACTGTGTGTGGCCAGCAGCCAGTGTGAGCGGCCAGCAGCCGCCGTGAGCGGCTGTCCAGAGTCCAGCGACTGATCTGCCTCACCCGGGAAGAGCGCAATGATGGTGCCAACTTGGGTCAGTGAAGCAACATCCTCCACAACTAGACTAAAGAACAAAATGACAGCAACTTGTCTGTTCCCCTTCCCCAGTTCCCCAGTGCTGTTCTCATCCCCCAATTCCCAATTAAAAAAAAATCTTTAAAAAAAAAAGATTTAATTGCTATACGTTTTTATCATAAAGATAAAACTAAGACTACTTGCTATATTTATATTGCCTAAATTAACTCAAGTCTTACAAAACTCTTTTGGTTAAATTCATTTTAATTCATTCTGAAGGGAGCGTTTTTACACTACAATCACAGTAAATAAATAACAGGCTAAAAAGTAAGCATGGCACAATGATATAGGATTGTTTTCTCCTCCATCTGGGAATTAAGTCAGTGTATTAAAATTCATTGTTCTGGGGCCGGCTGAGTGGCGTGTTGGTTGAATTGGCTTGGGACGCCAGCTCTGAGCACTAGGGCCCCGGTTCGGATCCCACATGAGGGCCAGTGACACTGCGCCTTCTACAGCTAAGATGGCGAACAACAGTTCAACCTGGAGCTGGGTTGCCGTGAGTCGCTGGCGACAGCGTAGGCTGCAGCGGGGCTGCAGTGGGCTTCCATGAACTACCATGAGTGGCTAGCAGCCAGTGTGAGTGGCCATCAGGTGTGAGCTGCCGTGAGCCTCAGTGAGTGGCCATCCAATGGCCAGTGAGCAACTGCCTCAGCCGGGAAGAGGGCAATGATAATACCAACATGGGCCAGTGAAGCGATGTCCTCCACAACTAGACTGAAGAACAAAAGGACAGCAACTTGCCTGTTCCCTTCCCCCAATTCCTCAATAAAATCTTTTAAAGAAAAAAAATTCATTTTCTGGTATTATATTTGGTAAAGTACGACAAAGATTTTTGATGAGCCCAACTAGCCCCTTCCACTCACACTTTGTTCTAGTGATGTTTCTTCCTTCTATTGAAAAGAATAGAGTTCCTTTACATGGAATGGGGAGAAAAGGAAATAAAATAAGTAAATTTGAAATTTGTTATTGTTGTCACCTTAAAATAAACCACCGTGTGTATACATAATTACTACATATACACACCTGGATGGGATCTAAACAAAAATCTAGGCTTTTTTTTTTTTTGGTCTGGATAACTTTCTTTAGTCTAGATGTTCACTAAATTCTTCTTGCTCATGTTGACATTTCTCCTTTCAGTGTCTGTTTACCCATGAGGAGTAGAATTTTGGATTCTGATGGATTGACAGCATGTTTTGTGAGTACACATAGCCCTTTTGTAGTAGCTAGTAAAACGATAATATACCATACAAATTCAATTTGGCTGTAAAGAATCTTA